GGGGGGGCTGGCGGGGGGGGGGGGGGGCGTGCCCCGCAGCCGCTGGCTGTTGGGGTGATTTGCCTAGTTGCCATGTCTGGCAAGCCTGGACAAGGGCTCTGGGTGCTGGAGGGACTTGGTGATCCCAATGCACCAATTCCTTCTCATGCAACCTGTGGGTAAGGGAGCCTGGGTGCTGGTGACTTCCTCTGAAACCGTGGCCTGACAGCACAGAGGTCCCCAGAACCACCAGTGGCTTTGATGAAAATCAAGAATAATCTGTGTGAGACTGGTGTAAACAAGCTTCTGTGATGTTAACTACATGAACCAGATCCAGTTGTCGCCCTCCTGACCTGCCTGGAATGAATTCTTTTCCAAAGGTGAAAACAGGTAGGTGTGTGTTGGGCAGGAGACATTTTGGAACTTGTCTTCTGATGGAATGGGGATGAGGTTGTGGATTAACCCAGATTACAGGTTGATGCCCAGCCTTCTCTTTGGGCATCATCTTGGGCAAACAAGGTGGCATATGTATGGGCTTTGAGCCAATTTAAAAGTCCCACAAGCCAAATGCTTGGAGGAGTGTGGGAAGCCGACTGACAAATGTCATTCCCCATCCCGTGCTGCAGACCATCCTATCGTGTGATGGTGCCAAGGAGCTCTGTTCCTGCGCTGTGTTGTCAGTGCTCCTGAACACGGTTGTGTCCTCACTTGTCTTTTTAAAGCAAGGAGGGAAGAGAGAAATAAACACACCAAAACCAACCAACCAAGCCCCTCTTACTGTGACCTTGTCCTCCATGAGAGGCTGCTGAAGAAGCAGATCCTGCTGGGAAGTGATTTCTGTTGAAGCAATTGTCACGTGGATCATGTGTAGCCCATAGTAAGAATTGCACGGATTCCCTTTCTTCCCCTCGTCAGGTTTTTCAGGTAATTAAGTGTAATATTAGCAAGATTCCTTGGGACCCCCAAGGCTCTGCCGTGGCAGGGTGCTGTGGGTGCCTGTGTGCGCCGGATGAGCCCCGGGTGGCACAGGTGATGTGCTGCGAACACACAGGTCGTGCTGTAGAAGCTCCCACTCCATGAGAGCATTTTTTTCGTGGCCAGATGCGCAGGGAAGTGGCAGGCAGGGAATGTCCCTCCGAGATAGGAGCGATGGGGATATGCGTGGGGCTGGGGTGCCAGCCAGGGGCAAGCGCTCACCACCACAGCCAGCTGTGCCTGTGGGTGCTGCCCCTGGCCGGGCGCTGGGCTGCAGGGTGACCTGCTCAGGGTCAGGAGGCCTGGAGAGCGTGGGGGTGGTTTGCAGCATGGAGGACGGGGAATCACTAATGCCTGAACACGTGGAGGGCTGCGATGCCTTGGAATCACATATTTAGGGATGGGGGGGATGGCGCGGAGATGCTGCTTCTTGAGAAACTTTTTGGTTTAGTGCTTGAAAGATTGCCTGTTTATCCATTTTCCTTGCTTGGTTTGAAAATGTGGTAGGAGTGAGTTGCCACTTCCTTTTCGCTTCCCCTTCTCTGGTCAGAACTCTTCCCATGCCCCTGTGCAGCTGGGGCTGCTGGGCTGCTACGCCACATGCCGTCATGGCTCATCTTTGGGGAGGCAAATCTGCTTTAGGCGCTTGTCCTTCAAAGCTGTTGCAGGGCTGGCGCTGCTGGGAGCACAGCAGGGAGTGCTCCACTAAAAGCAAAGGAGGAACGTGTTTATCTGAAGCAGCAGTTTCTTCTGTACCATTATTCAGAGGTGAAAGTTGACGCAAAGGCTAGCGGAGTAGTCCTATGTGTAGGAGAGGAAAACGGGGCAGGTGGAAGGGGGAGTTTGGCAGGGAGCTGGAGAGGGGCTGGTGCACGTGAGGAGACATGCAGGAGCCCTGCCTGCAGCAGGGGTCAGGGCAGGGGATGCGATGCCCCGGGCCAGGAGCGCTCGCTGCTCGGGGCGTGCGGCAGTGCCAGCAAACCCTCTCGGTGGTTTATTGCACGAAACCTCACATAACAGCCAGCTGGGAACTTTCCACTGGTACAATTTTTTCATAAGAAAATATGTAAACAATGCTTCCCACAGGAAATTGCATATGTTTTCACTGCAGATGGAGCGATATACGGTAAGTAGTGTCACGTCCATCCT